CTCCCTCCCTCCCCATCCTGAATTTCCTCTCCAGAAGCCAGGGATTAACTTATGTAACTGGGAGCACTTAACATATTACCTTTTTGAGTGTTTTTAAAATAAATTGAAAAGTGGGTATATTCAAGGGCAGTAGCCAGAAGAACCCAACTGAGAAAGGAGTTGGAGCAGGGGAAGAGAAAGGGTGTCCTGTCAGCCTGCTATCCTGCCCTGCTGTTCCCAGGGACTTTCCAATGGCCGCAGCAGGGCTTTGTGCATTAGCAAGTGTGAATTAGTGAATACACTCACCACCTGTTTCTCCCACCTCTGGCTTTAGTGGCCATGGCAGCAGCCAGCAGCATCCTCCTGCAGTGACTCCATGCTCCCCGTGTCCGTGTCCGGCTGCTCCACCCAGCTGGCGACTGCTTGCCTCCAGCACTCAGCTCACACCCCTGCTCCTTCTCCCACTACCAACCAACTGTGGCTTCCAGATGGGGCTCAAACGCACTGTCTTTAGGAACCCCCTCTTGCCCCCTTCAATTAGTCACTAAGTCAATGAGTTATTTGTTTTGCATTTCCTGAGGGGTTCCTGGGAGTCATTCTCATTTTAGTTTACAATACTTTAGCTCATTGGTGAAATTGATGGCAGCAGGAGGAATTCTCCACAGCCCCTGGTGGAGTGCTCCATGTCGAGTAAGTCCTCGGCAAGGCTGGTTTGCAGGAGATAACAGTGTGAGGCCTGTGCTAGATTGTAAGCTCCTCAAGGGTAGGCAGCCAGTCTCATCTTTTCACACCCTTCACCACCACCTCCCTAGGGCTTTGACTACTTATCAGTTCCACAAACACTTATTGAGCACCTACTATGTGCCAGAAAGTGCACTAGGTAAGCTGGAAATTCTACTGGGAGGGGCAGGTAAAGTCCCCATCTTGTGGAGTTTATGTTCTAATAGAGGAGACAGCCAACAAGGAAATAAACTAACAGATTAACCCCAGGCTGTGGCAGGTGCTTCCTAGGAAATAAGCAGAGCTGTGTAACATAGAAGGGGCACGTTTATGCTGAGAACTGAAGACCTATAAGGAAGGAATAAGTTGCCTCTCAGTTTTCTCTTCTTATTTAATAACCCTCACTCCTTAAGCTTTTCTTTCAATAAAATGTTTATTTGAAGGGATGTAATAAGGTGACATGTTATGCGTTTTCCTGGCCCATGGGTTCACAAAGACCTGACACATCTGATCACTGACAGATCATAATCTCTCCAAGGGTCATTCATCTCACCTGCTTTATGGGGTAGCAGCCCTGGGGCCCCATGGATCTGGTGGAGAGAGCACCCTGCTGCACAGAGCCTGGCGCCGATGCCTGTCTGACGCTGGTGGTGGTTTGTTTCGCAGGTGAGCCGGCCTCATCCCAGCGACCACCCTCTCCTGATCCTCTTCGTGGTCGGCGGAGTCACAGTCTCTGAGGCAAAAATGATCAAAGACCTTGTGCCGTCTCTGAAACCAGGAGCCCAGGTATGAGTCCTAGAGTCCTCGGTGATGCGATGCGAGTCCTGGGGCAGGAGTGGGAAGGGCGGCGCGGGCCCTTCTTCGGGCTTCCCAGCGTTCCCATCCCCATCCCGGCTTCGTCTGTCCCACCTTCTCCTTCCCATGTCATATTCTCCTTCTGCCTGGCCCAGGCCAGCCATCCCCGTGGTGGGAGTAAAGGAAAGAAGGCTCTCCTTTTCCAGTCCTCTCCTGCCTCTGGGCTCCAAGGGCAATATGCTAGTGTCCCTGTTCCTGATTCGTGCATATGTTCTCCAGTATCCAGTCAGTGCTGAATTACTCAAGAGTTTTCACTGTTTTTCAGGCCCCAGATAATTGAGGGTAACTCCCAGGACCACCTCCCCACTATGGCAGGTAGAGGACCCAGCTGGAGGAGTTGGGAAAGGCCCATTGTCAAGACAAGGATGAGTGTAGAATTTTCTCCTCTATAGCCTCCTGTTGGGTCGCATTTCGCTCCCCAAATAAGTGGCCTGGTGGTTAAGAACACAGATCTCTTGATTTTACAGACCTGACTTTGAGCCTTAGCCTTTTAATAGCCAGGTGATCTAGGAGCGAAAGGCCTTCCGTTTCTTCATTTAGGAACCGGCTGGGGTGGCTGTGAATCTTAAATCAGGTAAGTGGAGAGAATGTGCTGCTTAGCACAGTGCCTGGTACATCTCCCTCAATAAGTGGTGGCTGCAGTTATTATCAGCCACTTCTGAGGAGTCACCACCCTGCTCCGTAGAGGGGCTGAGGCTCGGGCAGGAGGCCGTGGGAAACCAAAGAGAGAGGCTCCAGGACAGGAGAGCCCCTGCCTTTGGAGCTCTGATCTGGCCAGGAAGCAGAGCCTATAACCCAGTAAGATGAAAAATATTGCCATAGCGGGTCCTCAAAACAGATCCCAAGACGGAGACGTGAGAGCAGGTGGTTTACTTCGGAGGTGACCCCAAGAAGCAGAAGTGAGGGCATCAGAAAAGAGAAACAGCAGAGGGAGAAAAACCAGAAAAGGGGCCTCACTGAGGCAGTTGCTACTGTGCATCAAGGCACGGTCCTCTGGGGCCCCAGGAGCCAGGGTTACCTTCCTCAGCATGGTCCTGCTGGAAAACGGAGTCTGTGGCATCGTATCATAGACTCTCTCTTCCCACCCCAGCCCCAGTTGTGACTCGCCTCTGGGGCCTTCAGCTTTGGGCCACCTCTGCATACAGCTGAGAAACTATTCATGGTTTGGAGAAAGCAAAACAGAGAGGGCATCTGGTGCTTCAGGTGGGACACTGGCTCGTGCAGGAAACTGTTCACAGCTGCACAGAAGCCAGGTGGGACTCCTGGCTCCACAGGTGCCGCTGTCTTTGTCTCCCACCTCCGTCCACTACTGAAATTCCACCAGCTATGACCACGATGGGTGAGCGTAACAGCAGCCAGGCAAGAGTGCCCTCGATCTTGCCTTCTGTGAGGTCCTACTTCTTGTTCCAGGCCTTTCCTGCATCTCTGCAGGCATCCAAAATCTGTACTTTGCACCAGGCTGCTAGCTCACTGCTTGCTGGACTGGTCTCCTCAAGCAAACACGAACTCCTTGAGGACAAAGGCTTGGCTTCCCAGGCCTGAGCACATGGCAGAAGCTCCACAGCCTTGTGGTCTGATGACACAATTGGCTACAGGAGACCTGGGTTGGTGGTGTTGGCATGGGCCACCTGGTGAGGTAGAGAAGTCCTGGTCCCTGTTGTTCTCCAGACACCCAACTGAGAAATGGGACCCGGGTATCTAGGGAGCCACAGCAGATTCCTGAGCAGGGGAGTGATCACTCATTGGCTGTGACTATCACCTGTCATGGTCATAGCTGGTACAAGTTCTGATAAAGTGGTAAATTCTGCCTTGTTTAACACCCTCTCTGTCAAGAGCAGTGTTAAGGATCTCTTTAGTGAGCAATTGCCTTTTCAGCAAGACTTTTTTTCTTTTTAAATCAGAAAGCACACTTCTCACTATCCCTAGCACAGCAAACCAAATTCTTAGCTCTCCAGAACAGTCATGCATTGTAACAGCCTGACAGACATGTTAATCTCCACTCAAAGGATAAAATGCAGGCGTTTTCAAAGCCGAGTGACCTGAGTTTGACAGTGAAACCAGAATCTGCGGTGGCTCTACTGCCATCTGACCCTGTGCCCTGTCATCTGCACAGTGAGTCTCTCAAAGAATTTGGTACTTAAGGAGCAGCCTTGGCTGCTGTTTGTCCTGTGTGCAGAGTTCCCTGAAGAGTTCACAGGCCATAGGAAGATTCCAAGGAGGAGTTCTTGATCGTGCCCTCCTCTCCAAGGGTTTGAAAGGAGCTGGGTTACCTGGATATTTGCTGGGTGACACCTGTGGAGGCAGCTCTCCCTTTCTCAGAGCTCGACGGACTCACAGCTGCCCTGGCCCTGCCACTGACTCTGCCCAGACCTGGGGCCTGAGCTGCTACTTGCTGGTATAGACCAGCACACACTAGAGCCAGTCTCTGCTTAGACTCACTGCCATTGGAGTGTGTGTGTGAACTAACTGAGTCTAAGCACCAGCAGACTCTCAAAGACATGACTGGCAACCAAGAGAGTAACTCTGACTTGGCCGTCGATATAAACAGTGACAATATACATATCTAATAGTTCCTTCTATGTTTAATATTCAGCCTATGTATGAATATCCCCAGTGACAAGGATCCATCCCTCCCAGGGCAGGCTCCTTGAGTCTCGCAGGGCTTCATTGTTATGACTGTGGTTCCTCCTCTAGATGAGTCCAAATTGGCCTCAGAGCTCTCACTCATCAGGGCAGGGTCTAGCTCTTGGGCTACCCTGAATTTACAGGACAATCAGGCTCATCCCTCTTCCCCCAGGCCTGCTCTTCTCCAAACTGAGCATCCTTGATTTGTACAGCCACCCCGCCCCAGCCCGTGACTTGGAGCCCTTACTGTCGTAGTGGCTCTCCTTGGCCCCAGTGCCTCTCTCACACTCAGCTGGACCTGAGAGCCGTGCGCTGGGGTGGCCTGGTCAGTGCAGAGGCAGGTGGGGCCACCCCCTCCTCTCCCCACCACGGCCTACGAGGCCCTGTAGGATCTCACCCAGCCTCCCTTTGGGCCTTCTTTTCCTGCCTCTCTTCTGCTTGCCTACTCCCTTCCAGCCTCATGACTTCGTACTTCTTACTATTTTATTCCCAGCCCCTCAAACAGGATCTGGCGCTGGGTGTCATGACTGTACATTGGATGTCAGACACTGAACTCTAGAAACTTTACTTGTATTATTGTAGCATAGATAAGAAGTGGCTTTTCTGGAGGCTACACGAGCTCCTCGATTCATACTGAGAAGACAGCTAAAACCGCTGCCTTTTGTATCAATTGCTATTCACCCACGTCTCCCCTATTCAATATCTACATGGGTGAGCTTGGATTGTAAGTGCAGAACTGATAGTCATGTCTATTAAATTGGACTGGCTGATTATTCATACTCTGTGCCAGGCACTGGTCTCTGTGCTGAAGATGGAGCCGTGACCAAGCCAGACACAGTCCTGCTTCCACAGAACTCACGCTCTAATAGTGAGTGAAGGGCATTAAACAGATAAGTGTACCAAGAGCACACAGGTGCTGAGCTGGGAATAACCAGCGGGGAGGTTCCTTCGGAGGCATGGGCTCCCCACGGAGGCATTCAGGGATCAGCTCCTCAAAGGAAACTGGGAGGATCCATGAAAGGCACATCCAGAAATGAAATCTCTTTCACAAAAAGTGACAAGGATTTCATGAAGCAGTGGAGTCCAGAGACCACATCCGCCTCTGCTACTCCCACAGGACTGTTACCACACTCTTAACACGGGAGTGTTTTCTCCACTCCACCTGGGTTGTCAGTGGACGTGCTGATGAGAGAAAGTGGGCAGTTGGAGAAGACCCTCTTTCCTGACAACCAAAAAAAGGGGGATCAAAGAGGCAGCTCCCCCCCACCCCAGCGCACACGGCTGCATCCACAAAGTAGGAGGCTCTGCAGGCTTCCTCACTCCAGAGCGCGTGTGCCTGGCACTAGCCTCTCTCTCCCTCGCTCCAAGCCCAGACAGCTCTGCAGGCTGAACTCTGTAGCTGGATGGTGGCCAGGAAGCCAGCTGACGCCTGGAATTGTGGGAGGAAAATAACAGGGAGGGACCCTCCCAGAAAATACAGGGCCAGGCCAGCTCAGGAAATGGAAAGACCAAGTGGGCAACTCGACCCAGCCATCCATGGCTTTTCATAGGCACGTGCGTGTTGCCCGCCTACACTTTCTTGTGGTTCTACATTCCTGGGGCTAAATATTTGGTGAGAATGTAAATTCTTCAAAAGCTGGACCCAGGCATATGCTCATGCACACACGATTTTGCACAACTTTGGGGATTCAAGGACACCTAAATCCTGGCTCTAAAACCTGGCTCCAGGCTATTCTGAGGTTGATGGGAAGTATGAGGAGAGGAGTCAAGTGACTTTAAAAAAAACCCAAAAAACACACATATCAGAAGGGACAAATGTGAGGAGATGCTCTGCATCGTTACACTCAGAGCCTGATGCACACACCAACACGGATCTCCAACGGAAAGGCAGGCCAGGAGGTTCACACTGAGTTTCCAGAAGGCTCGGTCATGTCCATGTAATTAATTCACTGCCCCACTGGTTTAATGAACAAGCCTTTTATGTTTAACACAAATGTGTGAGTGTGTGACTATATGTAGGGCCTCGAATATGATATGTGCTCAAAACCAATTAATCGAATGGATGAACGTGCATGTTGGCGCCTGTGCACACGTGGGGTACTGTTCCTGGGAAAGCTCTCCCAAGTTTAAAAAAAAGGAGAAAAATTTTATACCATGCTCCTTTCAACCCACAATGTTAGGAATCAGAGGGTTATAGAATCAAAATCCTGGACGGCCTGCTTCCTCTGTGCTTTGCAGAAATAGAACTGGAAGAGGCTGGCACCTGCAAATTATAGTGAAGGCCTGCAGGAGTGGAAAGTGGAAAG